TATTATTATAATATTTCAATTATTAAACTGTTCTTATCTCAACCCACGAGTTTTCTCACTTTTACCCTTCCAACTCTCTTCCCCCCATCCTGCTGGGACGGGGGGTGAGCAAGCAGCTATGTGGTCCTTAGTTGCCAGTTGAGGTTAAACCATGACAACAGTGCAGGGATTTCAGAAGGTTTCCATGGCTTGAAGCTCAACATTGTCAAGACAAGCCCACCTTGGCATCTAAATTGCTCTCTGGATCAAGCCAGAGGTTCCCATTTATACTTTCAGGTGCTAGTGGCCTTTGATGCTTTGGACATCCTGTTCTGACCACTTCATTAGTCCCTTTGAGACTGCTGAAATCCAAGATGAGCAAATTAAGTATCTTCCAGCTCATTTGCATCACATTTTCTTTAGTTATCAGGGAACACACATTTAAATTTATCACTCGGTGCCAGGCCAATAGCCAACATTTCCAATACCAAGAAACCGGGCAGTACACATCAGTCAGCTCACTGCAAATTGGCAATTAACATGATGGCTAGATAGGTTCATATGAGCATAACATTATTAATTAAACAGCAGCTGGGTTAATCAAGATAGCAAAAGTAATTTGTTGGAATAAATATTTTATTAGTGTGTCCATCAATGAAGCAAAAGAAGAGGTTTTAATTAATTCATTTATAAAAATGTTCACACTATGGTGGCTGTAACTCTGTTTAAGGATCTGGAAACAGGTCTCGTCTGTAGAAGGGTATATTCCCACTTTATCACTTCATGTTAATTGTACTGTAGATATCAGTTACCCAACTATAATTACTAGTATGTTAGATACAAGCCAAACATTGCTGTCCGCCTCTGAACAGCAATACTTCACAATTGATGTTAAAGGGCTCTTTTTCCTCTTTGTTGCTTTATTCTTTCAGAAATGCGCATTCTGCCATTTAATTACAGAATGATATTCTTGGAATGTGGGGTATTTATGATTCCTCCCGGCATGATTAGAGACCTGATCTTTCTTTTTCCCCAAAAAAGACCATGAAGTTGAGAGAGGGTGAATATTTTTTTTAATTTCTCCTGGTATTAATAACTAAACAGATGGGGGGAAATGGCATATTTTAAACGAGTATATGCCATAAACACAACAGGTAGTAGTGATTTCTATCTGACTGAGGTATATTTATCTACTAATGCTGAGAAATATAAAGAAATACTGAGAAGCAGAGAGAGGCTGATGATTTTGCAAGAAGGTCATAGATTAGACAAAGTGTGTTTCAAACACTGAAGAGAGTGGGAAAAGATTTACTTTAAGGAGAAGAACTACTGAAAGAGCAAGATGTAAGCTGTTAGGACTGTTGAAACAAGCAGGCTTGCCAAGTCCCATACTTTTTTGGAGGGAAGACCTCTGTAGTGGGTTGACCTTGGCTGGACGCCAGGTGCCCACCAAGCCACTCTGTCACTCCCCTCCTCAGCAGGACAGGGGAGGAAGAAATTGAAATGGAAAAAAACTCTTGAGTCAAGATAAAGGCAGTTTAATAAAGCAAAAGCAAAGGCCGTGCACGGAAGCAAAGGAAAAGAATAGGTTTATTCTCTACTTCCCATCAGCAGGCGATGTCCAGCCACTTCCCGGGAAGTAGGGCTTCTGTATGCATAGCGGTTCTCCGGAAGACAAACGTTGTAAAAACAAATGCCCCCCACTCCTTTCTCTTAGCTTTTACTGCTGAGCAGACATCATATGGTATGGAATATCCCTTTGGTCAGTTTGGGTCAGCTGTCCTGGCTGTGTCCCCTCCCAAGATCTTGCCCACCCCCAGCCTCTGGTGGGGGGGGGAATGTTGGAGAGGCAGCCTTGACGCTGTGCGAGCACTGCTTAGCCAAAACACTGGTGTGTTATCAACGCCTTTCTAGCTACCAATACAAAGCACAGCACTACTAGGGCTGCTATGGGGAAAATTAACTCCATCTCAGCCAGACCCAATACAACCTCTTAGAGTATTTTTCCCTGTTGCTTTCTTCTTTGTGTCAGGTGGCTTATTACACATTGGAGTGGAAGTCTCTTTCCGTGTTTTAGCCACCTGTCCAAAATCTTAGACATGTGTGAGAAATTTGCTGGAAGCCCTCGCGGATAGATGTTTTATATAATGTGCATGGATATGGAGTACACATGTCCATATAAAGAAGGAATTGCATTTATAAAAGTAAAGTTAATTTAATACAGAATACTAATAAGAAGAAAAAAGAAGGAAATACACGGTTGGAAAATGGTAAATAAATCTAAATATTTGATCTTCCTTCACAAACATTTAACCCACAAGCTGTACTACAATTGATTTTTATCATGTTCATTATTCACTCAACAGTTCTACTCTTCAAAATATTTCCGTCATGTTTAGGGAAAAGAAACAAACCCAAGTGACTTACACAGTCAAATTGCACAACATGAATGGTGAACAGGAAATATTGTAAATAAACAGGTGACATTCCCTCATGCAAAACCACCTGTTTTCTGGTATTTGTGTGGTACTAATGCAATTATTATTTAATCTATATGTAACGTTCAGGTGGCACAAGCAATATACCTCAAGTATGATTGGTTTTTTTGATCCCTTGGAAGCCTTTATATCATATTGCTTCAGTTGTCATGCCTGAAAGGTGCTCTAAACTGTGAAGTTTAGGGAAAAAATGTGCTTAATCTGTCAAGGAGTCTGTAAGCCAGTGCTGGTCCCGGAGGTGCAGGGCAGCAGAACCACAAGATCCCGTTTTCATTAATAATGGGAGGCTGGACTCCTCTTACCCACCCGCACAGTCTTCAGCAAGCAAACGTGGGCTCACACTGAGCCAGCCAGCCCTGCCATGGCTCTAGGTCCCCTCCAGCTGCAGGCACCATGACACCGGGCACAGTGGGGCTTGGTAGCTCAGGCACGGCTTGGTCCTAGCCATCTCCAGCGAGCACCTCCTCCAGAGCTGGTTTGCATTTAGCTGGCTCAGAGCATCAGTGCAACAAAGTGGTGTCCACCTGATAGAGGCTGTGGAAATACCGCCCCAGTAAATTGGACCCAAAAAAAAGCCAAGGAAGCTGCCAACACTGCAGTCTGCTCAGAGCAAGAGGAAAGTTGGATTAAACTCACTTTCCTGAAACACCAGTGAGGTGAATGCCCTGGAGAGGAAGCTCCAACAGGACTGTGCCACAGCGCTGTGACAGCTTTCATTCACAAGGAACTCAGCTTTAGCGTACTGTAGCTTAATTCTCCATGGGGAAGATTAATCCCTTGGAGGAGGATTAAGCTATAGTGAACTAAGGCCACTTTATTTCTGAATGGGAAAGGCCACACAGGGATTTAATGTACTTTATCTTATGTGCATTGATTTCACAGCTTTAGTTAATTCATCTTAACTTCCCTGAATTCCCTTGTGTGGACAAGCTTTTTGTCTGCAGAGAGGCTCTTGGAGCTGCTTGTAAAGCTCCTCGTGCAGCCCAACCAGAAAGCAGGTTGGAATGATTTTTGTGCCTCTGAAGGAGCTTATACCTATCTAGATACTATTAAATTACCTCTTTCTCAGATGGTTGATCCATGACAGGCTTAGAAGAACTATTTTAATTAGATTTTTTTGAATGGACCAGAGAAAAAGGAGTTTTCTTAAAACTAATCTCTGGGTTATTTTAGAAATCTCTCATGAACAGTCTTTTCAAGGCTTTCAGATAGCACGAATTGTGTACAGCTGCACAAACAATATTTTCTCAAGCATGGACATGTCTGGGCAGTGCAGTTTAATAGGTTTCCTTGCCCAGTGGGATTTTCTTCTCCTTTGGTGGTGGTCATCAGAAAACATTTTGTCTATATGGAAAGCAAATGAGCAGAGTTTCTATTCCCTGATCCTAAAGATCTTACTCCCTTCCTCTCGGTGGCACAAGTGACACAGATCTGGGTTGAGGAGGATGTTTTTGTGGGAGCTGCTGTTAAAATAATGGCATGATTTTGCTGATGTTGTCCTTTGGGGAAATGAGTGTGCTTATTTCTTGTGCAGTTAATGTGATTTACTGATAGGCCCTTCTGATAAGGTCTTTCCTGACGCTGATGAATGATGACCCAGCTTTACTGTTCAGCTACATCATGACACCACATATCAAATTAAACTTTTGCCAAACAGTTCTTCACTGGGACACTTCATGCAGCACAAAAAGACATCTCTTGTGGATTCCATACAAGTTTTACTATGACTTAATTCTGTAGCAGTCAATAAATATTTTATCTTTTTAATACGTAAATTAGGTGCTTAGGGGGCCCATATTCATGTGGACAAAGTCATGTGAGAACAGAGGTACTGAACAAAGGAACGTGAGTAGTAGCTGAACATCAAGGTCCAAGTGTTTTCCACCAGTATTACTCAATAGTAGTATTCATCAATGCTGATGTCAGTGGGACTGGGAAAATATTTTAAAATATAATGCAACATGAGCAGAAGAGAGACAGTCTCTTTAATTTAGCTGTTTGTGACCATTTGCACTGAAATGTACATATAAATACAGGAAACTGAAGCAAATCTTTTTCAAATTTAGCTATGATACCTGTATTTATGTACCGTTGTACTAAAAGCTTAGTAAGTGTTCAATGTCTTCTAATGATTGCTTTTCCTCTTCTTTCATACAGCTGATTGGATTTGTGTATGCCTGTTACGTGATCAGTATTTTCATGGAGGAGGAGGACAGCTGTAAGTACTGATACACACCTCTCCATCTCTGGAGCCACAGTACCTGGGGTGAGACTTAGTCTTGCATTAACTACCAAGGCGAGGAACGAAGTTTGAAAAATGGCAGAATGTGGCATTCATGTACACAACCAATTGTGCTCAAAGACATACTTATTTAGGTACTACCACCTTATCTAGGTGTCAGGATTGTACTTACTAAACTTCTTCATAGAGGTCTGTGAACCGCTTGCATGAGCCAGTCACACTGCTGAAAATCATGTGATCCACGTTGCATATATATATTTACGTAAGTCTTTTTGTATGTACATTTAAATTTGAATCAAAGCTCCTGAAGCTATTTAGTCTGTTTTTCCAAATGACAGTCTTATCAGCAGTAAAGTTAATGGAGATGACAGATCAAACCATTTACAGTGTGCAGTATCACTCCGATCAATAATTGGATAGACCTGTTCAACACTTACAAGTAACTAGACCATGCATCTAAAATGCTGACCCCCATGTTCTTAACCTGCCTTTATCAATAAAACCCTTACATACATACCCATATTGTTCAAAAAGTTTGAAAATGTGCACACCTTTAAAAAAGTATTTATCAAAAGTCATTAAAGGGGCATTGGAAAAATCTGAATATGCCGAACATTTTGGTAGGATGCTGTGTGAAAAGAGATTGTGAGAATTGCCTGACAAGGTCACCATACCCGCATGACTAGCATAGCGATGGGTAAAAGCAGTAGTGAGAATGGAATAACATTGCGTGAGCAAAGAGGAGCGAATACAAGAACAAGTCTATTTAAAAAGGGACAACGCGTGATCATGTCAGTTACTTCCTCTCATATATGAGGAGTTAAGCAGTAAAATATCTACCTCTAGGGGGAAAAAAAAGGAACAAATGCCAATATCATTTTATGGCTATAGGATAAACAATACACAAGCAAATATTTATTCATAAACTTTTATTCATAAATCTTAACATAGTTGTTTTGTTTCTTCACAGAATAGCACTAGTGGGTGAAATGAATATAGTAGAAAAAAATAATCCAGTTTGTAGGAAAGCATTTGATAATATCTGGAAAATCTTATTGAAAACATAATTCAAGTAATTCATGGCTGTGATGGAAAAAGCAGACTTTTTGACTGAAAACAGTGTGAAGGGCCATAAACAAAATACTTTTCCATTGCTACAAACTGTACAACGTTTGGTTCTCCATCATAATGCAATAGACATTAGTGTCAAATCTATTTTAACACTTTCATTTAGAATTCTAATAGGAAGAAAATATATCAAAGAGATTCTCAGATAAAACTGAGTGGGAAGGAGTCATAAGCATGTTGTGCACATAGTGTACTGTGAAAAGGCGCAAGGAGCCTGGACGAAGACTAGTGTTGTAAAGGAGAAATATGGACACTTGGAGAAGCAACATGAAGTGTAGGTCTTGAGGAGGAGGAAAAGCCCAGACAGTGCTCCCTTGGAAAGCTAGGAATTGCCAGTTAGTCAGGAATCGGTAACACAGCGTAACAGCAGAGGATAGCGCGGCAGCAAGGCAGCTGAATAATTTGGGATCTATCAACAGTCTTTGGTCAGTGAAATCCAGAGACAACTCCTTTCCGTATGGCTGTGGTGAGTCATGACGGCAGCTAGGGCTTCATACAGATGTCTGGAAACCTCGTTTGTGAGACAAGTACTAACTAAATTCCTGGAACAGGGAGGCTTCATTAAATGATTGGGAAGGCCGGCAGACTGATAAAGAAGACACAAACTACAGTGCCTTTAAAAGAGTAATAGTGTGTGTACATGCACACCCACATGCAAACACAGATATATCTGTACCTGGGAAGACAGACTCTTCACTTTTTACACAAGCATGTTATATTATTGTTGGTTTTGTTTAGTCCTTTATAGTGTGCTTCACACATCCGTGTTTTATGCATGTGTGAAAGACAGACAAAACTCCCACCAAAGAATACAACATGTTCATGGAAAATGCAGTCACCTGCTAAAGAGTGTATGTGGTTTATATTCAGGGCCTCAGAAGAGGGTTATTGTCAAGTTAAGGGCCTTGTTCCCTTAGAAAACATGTCTACTTCAGAAGAGTTGGGGCAAGGTTTGTCTTTGACATCCAAGGCCCGCTCCACTTTGTGGCTCACTGACTGTGAGCCCACCCTACTGTCTTCTGAGAGTTTTGTCCTGTATGATACCAATGGAAATTTAAATCACTGAGAAGGGAGAACAGCTGACATATTTATTAACCAGTAAAACACATCAAGTGCTAAGGTGATCCAGTATGTAAAACTAACCTAGTGCCCATTCTCCACAAAGGAATCGGGGATCCACATTTAATTTCTGCTTGTCTTCCAGAGCTGCCAATGGCAATTTGGTGTTTTGTTACAAGTGAAAATCATGTCACTCCTCTCGGAAAGTATGGTGTAACTTAGCTCAATGTCCACCGCTAGGAACGGGCAAGTTTCCCATTTTCACGTGCACCTTTACATATAATCTTCTAGACTCTTGTGTGAATAGATTTTTTTAGTTAGCGGAGGATGACCTGGGGCAGGGGCGAGAGCGGTGTGGTGGAAGTGGAGCAAAGAAGCAGAATAGATACATCTAGGAGATTTTACAACCAGTGTAAGGAAATAATTTCTGATTTGTTACTTTTTTTATTCCCTTCTAAGATCCCGAATCCAATCATAAGCAACTAAATAGCCCCTTAGTATCTCACTTTCTGCTAATTTGTGTCTTAATGCCCATTTGTGTTTTAGAGTCCTCTCTGCTTGTAGATAAATACATTAAAGACAAATGTTAACTCATTCATAGCAATCCCACAGATATGTTTTAAATGAAGAAACATCTGTGTAAGGCAGAGTGGGAAAATGGTTTGGTAATTAGCTGAGAAGACCAGGACTTATTCTGGAAAAAGTCACATTGTTAACTTGCAGCATAATGAACAAAAATTTATTTCAGAGAGAAGTACAGTGGTGCATCAAAACAGTCAGTTTAAAAGTAGATGGTGATTACATTAGGATAAAAGTCCAAGAAACTGCAACAAAAGAGCAATTTTATGCATTTTAATATGATACAGCAGATTCTTTCCTTAGGTAGATGCAGTTATTCTATCATATTTTTGCAGTAGTTTGCACAGAATAAATCCTCAGCCATCTGAGAGTCAAAGCCTCCCTAATTAAATATACTCTGCAATATTCAGTGCCTCAAGTTAACCCCAGTTCTTGGTCTGAAATCCATCAGGCAGACTTAAAAATTAATAATAGCTGTCTGTTTAGCCTCTGTGCAGTGCTTAAATGGATTTTGAGCCTGACATTTCGGCTGATGGACACTTTTCTGAACAGTAATAATGCTTGAGGAAACATTTATTTCCAGCTATTGCTCACCTTACCCACATTTCAGACTGTAGTTAACTTTTACTTAGAAGGAAGATGATAGCAGGTCAAAAGGAATGAAAAAGAAGACATGTAAAAGGCACACTGCTGTAGTGGGGTTAATACCTTCCATCATTCATCCTAATGAAAAAGTCTATTTATATCTCTTCCCTTCATTTTTTCATTTCTTTCTTTGTAGATCTATCAATCTATATAAGCCCTTTTGAAGGAACAGAATATGTGAAATCTGTAATCATAAAACCCTGTCACTATCCTGTTTGTGAATCATTTTCTCCTAAAAATGAACTCAGAGGCTTGTTGCCACCTTGTCAGAGTTACTGAATGGTTTTAATAAAGCGGAGTCTGGAGACTAGGCAAAATACATTGCTAAAATCATTATTAAATTTCTAAATAGTTTCCGGGCTTTTCTGAGAAACAGTTAATAGCATTATTGCTGCTAAATGCTCTTGTCAGAGTTACTGAATGGTTTTAATAAAGCGGAGTCTGGAGACTAGGCAAAATACATTGCTAAAATCATTATTAAATTTCTAAATAGTTTCCGGGCTTTTCTGAGAAACAGTTAATAGCATTATGCTGCTAAATGCTAGTTTATAAATATGACATTACATGTTAGACATTATTGCTGCTAAATGCTAGTTTATAAATATGACATTGACACATGTTAGAAGTGATAGTTCTGTACTGTGTGTGAATTTGTGGAGTGGAAGCTGAGTTGCGTACTAATTGCATAAAGAAAAAAAGGTGAAATCAGAGGGAAAGATTTGCCACAAAACTACAATTGCGATTTCAACATTTATTATAAAACCGAGACCGAAACACCGAAAGGTCAATGCAAGGAAGCCCAAACCTCTTTTGTGCATGAGCAAAAATAAAGGAAAGGGCTTCCATTCACTAAGAAGGAAAGCTTTATACCGTAAATGAAATGACAAGAACAAAATTAATAAACAAAAAATGATTTTTTTTTTGCCTCTCCCCTGTGCTAGTTGTATTCAGAGCTCAGCTGTACTTTCAGAACAGAAAGGAAGATGAATCTGTTTTTAAAAAGGAAGAGTTTCCCCATACTGTGGTATCAATAGGAACCTCCATATGCTATCATTACACAAATATTAAGTAAAGCAAGATGCATTATTAGCTCTGCTGAAAAACTACTGCATTGCCTTTTCTGACATATGGCATTACATTTATACACACCATTGAGCATCTGTTGGCAGTAATCAAACAAAAGAGAAAGGATTTTTTCCTCACATTTAATTTAATATTTGTAGTTACACAGTAGGTCCAGCAGTGATAAATTTCTTATAAATATGCTTTTTTTTGCAAATGAATGAAGAACTAGCAATAGCTAATATTAGCCACAGACCCATATATGTCTGTGTGTGTAATTACCTTTATATATAAATATACAAGTTTCCTTAACGAAGGAGTTTTTGGGAACCCACTACTAATACCTTTACATCAATTGCAATTGCCCATGTGGTTGAGTCCATTTACCTTCTAGAAAAGAGAATTTTTATCATAAAATGGTTAATATCAAGGATGACCAAGAAGGAGGATACTGCCCTACACTTCTGTTGAGCAATACAAGAATTAAACATCCCCAGACAATG